CGGCAACCTCTGCGGCAATTCGGTTCTCCCGCAGTACTCGGCGCAGGCTGCGCTCGCGCAGTGGACCGCCGCGGGCTTCCCCGCGTCGAAGCTCGTGCTCGGCCTCCCGCTGTACGGGTACGTCTCGCAGAGCACGAAAACGACGCTGCAGCACATCGCGCGCCCGCCCGCGGGGTTCAAGGTGCAGGAGTATAAGGAGAAGGTGTTGGGCTTGCCCGTGAGGGGCTTGAAGTGCCCGTTGCCGCAGGTCGTGGAGGAAATCGCAGGTTCTGAGGACGAGGACGAGCCTAACAAGTTGGCACTTGCGGGAAATCACGAGCGCGTGAGGCCGAAGGGGAAGGCTGGGAAGGAGGAGAACGGGGTGCATGCGGAGGCGGCGGCGGGCGATCTCAGCAGCTACTACGGGCAGCAAATTCCGTTCAACCAGCTCGTCGCGCTCGGCGCGCTCAAGAAGTCTGGCAGCGTGTACGTCGCTGCCAACGGGTACACCGAAGGTGCGTCCTTTCTGCGCCCATACTCCTCGTTCGGTCTGATAGAGGTGGCTGCGGGCAGGATGGGACGACTGCAGCGACACGCCGTTCCTGTTCAACACGTCGCGCAAGACGGTCGTCACGTACGACGACACGTACTCGCTCGGCGACAAGGCGCTGTTCGCGAAGCAGAACGGTATGGCGGGCTGCTTCACGTGGTCCCTCGACCAGGTGCGTTACGCGTTTACCCGTCTGCGTCGGTCGGGTGCTGACTGTTGCATGCAGGACGATGGATACACGCTCACGAACGTCATCCGCTCGAATTTGGGCAAGTGAGAATGGGACGACGGGCGAAACATCCTTGTCCCTCGATCCTCTTTTCAGATTCATGCCGCGCACGACGGTCACGGTTCCTCCTCCTTTCTTGACGTTCTTGATGATGTCTGACGACGAGCACGACCTCTCATGATGACTTGAGGCATATATTTATCGTGTTTCCTGTCGTATCATAGCTGTAGGGCATATCCCGAGACGAGTTCAATACATATGGTTTGCATATCTCAAAGGATGTGAGGGAACAACTGGTTATATGGTAGCCAAGCAGCAAGAAGAGGGGAATAGACTATAAGAGAGAGTAGCCTAAGACAGTGTTGAGGGCGGTAGGCTGATACATGTGAGTGGGAATACAGGAGTGAAGGGTATGTCGACTAGGACTAGGAAGTAGAGTATTCTGGAATGCCGGTGTCCGATGCGAGTGTCAGTTGCAGCAGCATACAGTTGATGACTACAATGGGGTAGGAGATACGATAGAGTTAGGATGGGAGATGCAGGGAGGAGGAGGGGATGGTGTAGCGAGCATATTTAGCGATAAATACTGTCCGAGTCTGTGTCCATATCCGCGTCACAATACAACTGCGGCGCCGCTCACGAGTCGTTGTCGAACTCGAGGTCGGTCGCGACGTCCACCCACGCGTCCATCGTCTTCAAGAGCTTGTTGCACTTCGCGCGCACGTCCACGTACGCATCGCGCCCGAGCACGAGCCACAGCGGCCACTCGCGCCCGGCCGCGCGGCCCTCGCCCTTGACGACGTCGACGAGGAGCTCCATCGCCTTCGCGGGGTCGCCCTTCTCGTGCCCCGCGAGCGCCGCGAAGCGCGCCATGCCCGCGTCCCGCGGCGCGTCGTACGCGGGGACGTGGTTGTGGATCGTCGCCGGGTACGCGTGCACGCCTTCTGTGCGGAACGCGCCCGGGGCGACGATGAGCACGCGGATGCCGAACGGCTTCAGCTCGCTCGCGTACGTCTCGCCGATCGCTGCAGGGGAGAGGGGGGAAAGGTGAGCATAATGTGCGATCGGAGCGGAGCGGATATGAAGAGGGTGGGGCGCTCACCATGTACTGCGGCCTTGGAGGCGGCGTAGAAGCCCGCGGGCTGCGAGGAGACGGGGCGGTCAGCGGCCGGGCGGACGACGGCAGCGGTGGGAGGACGAGGGACGTACCGAGACTTCAGGCCGCCATGCGGACCTGCTCCCGATGATGACGACGGTGCCTGAGCGGCGCTCGCGCATGTGTGGCAGGACGGCGTTTGTGACGTTGAGCACGCCGAAGACGTTCGTCTGGAACTGGGTAAGAGCGGCGAGCGACCTGATCGACGAACGCGGGCCCGTCAGCATCTCCGTTTCTGGCGTGCGCAGCGAGGCACCGGAACTCACCCTCCCTCCTCGAGCACGGCCTTGACGCCGTATCCTGCGTTGTTAACGACGACGTCGATGCGCCCCCAGACGGAGAGCGCGTCCTTGACGCGTTGCTGGACGAGCTCGGCGCTGTCGGAGACGTCGAGCTGCATGAGGTGCAGTCGGCTGCGCTCGGCGGCGGGGAACGTGGCTCTGAGCTTCTCGAGGTTCCGGGCGGTCGCGATGACGCAGTCGCCCCGGGCGAGGACGGAGAGGACAAGACGCTTGCCGAAGCCGGAGGAGGTGCCTGTACGCAGAACGCGATGGTGAGCTTCGATAGTGCAGACGGCGGCAGACGCGAGATTGGCGCACCCGTTATGAGCCAGATCTTTTGGTGGAGGGCGCCCATTGTGGCAGTATCAGACGGTGCCGGGAGAAGAAGCGGGGGGTGACAGAGAAGGGTATGTACGGGTATGTGTGCGCTGAGAAGTCGCCGGGGAGGTCGACGGTGGGATTGTGACAACCCTGCAGGCTGCAGGGGTACGGGCTTTATAGCGAGCGGGAGCGGGGTGCGACGCACTGCTTCGGATCTCGCAGACGCTGCGTCCCGGCCGCTGTCTGTACATGTCTGGTTGAGTCGAGTTTACAAAACACTTACGAGGAGTGTGGCGAATACGACGCCGGGACAGCCCTCCTGATCGCCACGCGGGCCTCCTGCCTGAGGGAGCGATCCCGCGAGCTCTGTTACACCCTTGTTCCCGAAACGTACCTCGCGCCAGATTGGCGCTCCGATGACTCAGCCTGGCAGTGCTCTGCCCAGATCTCGCAGAGGCGAAGGCACACCGATGGTATGCAGACGCTCCGTCCTCGCCGCGTCCGGGCTCACGCGCTGCTGGAGAGCAGACAGCGGGAGAGCTCTGCGTCAGCATCGCAGCAGATTGCGCACATCAGCGAGCAAGAGATGCACGGTGGCCCTACAGTTCCCATCGACGTTTGACGCCGCCCCAGAGATGCGTGCGCTGTATTTGGACGAGCATGACACACGAGCCTTGAATTTGAGTCATTGCAGCCGTCTTCCGTTCTCGAGTCCGAAGCAGTGTCTGACTCTCGTCGGCCTAGAGCTCGCGTAGCCTAGTGCGCCGCTCGAATCTCCGCCAACGTATTCCCATCAATACGGAGAGGAGGGTGGTGCAAGGCCCAGTCACGGCCCGGTCCGACAGCAAGGCGATGCATTGACCAGGCTTCTCCGGGAAGCTGATGTAATCGTTTTTCATACTTTGCGGTGTTGCGACCTGAAAGCCCGGGAAGATGGCGACCACAGCTGCCAACTGTGAACAGAAGGCCCAAGCAGCTGCGGCCAACTGTGCGCGGTCGTGCTGTAAGGGGGCATATGCCCTGTAGGCGTTCAACCGGGCCGAGCCCGACCAACGCGAGCTACGCGGAAAGACTGTCACATACGCACGGCTATAGTGACAATCCATTGAGGACCGTCGTATTGTCATCTTATGCGGCCGATTCTCATGCGGTTGACAGTTTGCCATACGCGCACTGGCGGACGCCTCCGCCACAGCAGAATTGACCGGCCGCCATAGGGATCAAGTGGCCGACAACGGCTGCCAGTGCCCGCACGCAAGAATGCAACCTGCCGCGGATCGGGTTAAGTGGCCGAACGAACGTCTGTCATGGGCGCGTTCGGCGCATACCCGTGAATCCTGCAGCGTGTATGCTGGACACGACGACAACTGTTCGCCGCACACGTTGCGGGATGACGTTGACCTGATAGCGGGTCAATTCTTGGTTCTATCACGAACAGTGCTCGTATTCGCAACTCACCGAAGAAGGTAGCATGACTGGTTTGACAGTCAGCGTAGCTCGGCGTGTTGGTTCTTTCACGGTCGCATTTGCCGCTGCGAATGCACAGCGGTCAGGACGTGATGCCACTCTGACATACCAGTCTATCGGCAACTCTGCTCATGTAAGTGAATGAGGTAGTTATCCTGCCTATTGACACCTTGTGGTCGGCATCCTTCCGACTAGCATGTCACTCTAGGACGTTGCTTCCTTTCGTCGTCTATATGGCAAGCTTGTGCAAAGCGACCCGTGTCTCCGCCGAGCTTTCGGTGTCCTTGCTTCTCAGAATGGCTGACGTCGTGACTGCGCTGGCTGTGGTGATGCACACGGCAGATTCAACTGTGCATCACCTCTCCTGCATCGCTCATCACGCGAAAAGCAGGTCGAGCACCGAAACGAGGTATGGCCGCGAACGAGACAGGGACTTACCACAACCGCATCCCGGTGTTGCTCTTCGTGCATCATCGCACGTACCTCCGCAACCTGTATCGATTCGTACAAGTTGCCATCCGGACGTCCGAGGCGGGACATGCCGGAGAAGAGGGACAACGTACAGGAAGCGAAGGAAATCACAGATAGACACAGGAATGCGTGCCTCCATGATCGAGGCGAAACACGCCCAGATTGGGTCCCGGCAATCGCGGGAAGGGGGATGCAGTGTCTTTACCTCAGATGTATCGCCAGACGCGTAGTACGCAGATTAGCAATGCAGCTCATCTAGAGTAGGCAGGACCTGCTAGGACCATTGCTCCACGGGTGTTACCAAGCGGCGGACCGCACACAGCACCCGGAGTCTCTGGGCCTTCGGATCTCGTATTGCACCAGAATCAGCCACGATGTATGGCGGACCAAGAAGAGAATCGAAGGAAAGCAGAGGAGGGGACGCTAACAACCACAAGTTGGCGATGATGGTGAAGCAGAACGAGTCGACGATGTCTCGGCACGGGCGACAAGATTCACTGCTGAGCTCCAAAACCTGATAACCGTGCTGCAACGCAAAAGGGCGTCTCCCGCTTAGCTCAGTTGGTAGAGCGCGTCACTAGTACTAAGGGCCTGCTTGGCAAGTCATGACGAGGTCAGTCGTTCGAGTCGGCTAGTGGGAACTCTTTTTCTCCTCCGCAAGAGGCGGGGAGACTAGCCGGCGCGGATCCGATAGCCTGCGACATTTTGCCAGATCGGAATGTATGCCAGCACTACTACCGTCGTTCATACCAGAGTGGCATGCAACAGAGTGCCTCCGCCATACAGTACAGTAAGGGACGATTGAAGGCGCAGCGAGGTTGGCGTCGATATCCGAGATTCGACGGCACGGGCCCACGGTCACTCGGAAGCTAGGCACAGTCGCACGCGATTCTCGAAAGTCGAAGGTATCCTCAAATCGGAGCATACATCCAGGTAAGCTCGGTCCAAGGACTTGCAAGTCTCATCACTCGAGTCGTCTTACGACTTTCAGAGGAACTAATCTGCAGGATGGTAGTCAAGCAGGAGGATCGCAACGCCGTGTCGCCTCTTCCACTTGCCCGCCCCTCCATACTGGCGGCGCATGAGGCGATCTTGCACCAGATCCACCGGACACCGATCTTCACGTCCTCGTCTTTATCAGCGTCCCTGCCTGGTAAAAACAAGCTCTACTTCAAAGCGGAAAATTTGCAGAAGGGCGGCGCCTTCAAGTTCCGAGGCGCCAGTTACAGCCTGTCATGCCTGTCTGCGGAAGAACTCGCGCGAGGGGTATGCACTCATAGCTCTGGTACGTGTCTTTCCTGTTGCGGTATTGTCACCTTGTATCCGGAAGTACGAAGTATATGTGACGCGACCCGGTAGGCAACCACGCCGGGGCCCTTGCTCTGGCAGCGAAAGAACGAGGCGTGAAGTGCTATGTAGTCATGGTACGTCCAACCCGCCGCCCACATCTCCCGCGGGTAACCGATTCACCGCCTCCTCACCGCTCCGCCAGCCAAACAACTCGGCCCGGCCCAAGATAGATGCGGTGCGCTCGTACGGGGCCTCGATCACCTTCTGCGAGCCCAACGCGCCCGCACGCGCAGCCGCTCTCGCCGCGGTACAGGCACAGACCGGCGCGACGTTCATTCCCCCGTACGATGCGGTCAACACGATACTCGGACAGGGAACCGCGTTGCTGGAGCTGCTCGACCAGGCGCCCGAGCCGCTCGCTGCCATGGTCGTGCCCGTCGGTGGCGGTGGCCTGCTGGCGGGGACAGCCCTCGCTGCGGAGGGTACGGGCGTGCGCGTCTTTGGCGCCGAGCCGGCAGGTGCGGACGACTGTGCCCAAGGCTTGAAAGAGGGCAAGAGGCGCGAGGACGTCCAGGCGAACACGATCGCGGACGGACTGCGGACGCCGGTGGGGGCGCTCAACTTCCCGATTATTCAGGAGAAGGTCGAAAAAGTCGTCACAGTAACGGACGAGGTAGGTATCAGGGTCTTTGATGCTGCTAAATAGTTTTGTGAGCCTCTCTGATCCGCTGATTTTTGCTAGGACATCATAGAGGCCATGCGCCTGATGTGGGAGCGGCTGAAGCTCGTCGTCGAGCCGAGCGGCGCGACCGCCTTTGCAGCCGCCAGGAGCCCGCAGTTCCAGGAGCTATGCATCCAGGGCCCTGTAGGAATCATCATCAGCGGCGGGAACATTGACCTGTCGAAGCCTTTGCCATGGGTACGGCGAGAATAAACCGCTACTTATGTGGTGTCGAGCCACAGCACCAGATTTTCTATGCATAGAGCGGAACGGATCATGTATCCCGGCCTTGTGAAACGTGAGTCTGTGGCAAGTCTGGATGAAATGACACATTGCGAAGAATGCAAACACCGCGGACAAGGAGCCTGTATTACCGTCGTAGCATTGCCGCACCGATCTCTTACAGGATGGCGCGTCTTCGGCGCAGCCGAATACCGTCCATTCCATTCCCATAGCTGGCGCCATATCTTCTATCCACAATCGCTGCGTCGTGTCGGACAGTGCGCGCCCTGCACGGAGAGCTGCCTTCCTTGATTGCACGGGACGTCGTTGCTGGGTACGTCTACCCGCCAAGTTCAACGTCTCGAAGACATATCCAAACCCTCGGAGCTCACCGAGACGGTATTTGCCCACAGGCTATTGGGATTGCGTGATCGCAGGACTGGGTGCGCGGGAGTGCCGGGTATGTCGGATGCTGCAGAAGCTCTGAGGCTGACGGCGGGCGGTGCCGTCACCCCGCCACCTCCTCAAGATCAGATACGTGGACAGGACAAGCGAGATCCCTGCGAGATGGGAGATGTGTTTCGTTGTTAAGCATAACCGTGTCCACGGCAGTGCAGGGAGCAGTGACAGCTGACATAGCGGTTCGTACGATTCCGTTGCTGCAGCGTGTATCGGCCAAGGTCCAGATTTGGGGCGACTCGTAAGCACATAGTCAGCCTCCCAATGGGCAATCGTCTTTGGACCACGTTATAGCCTCTCTTCGCTGCGCCCTCCCGTCCCGGACCGCCGTTCCCGCCGCCCCCGGTCTTCATGGCAGACATCAGCGGCCATTGTCACAGCTCAACGTCGGACGGTGTATCGTGACATGTTCTTCCACGAAAACCCATACCATACCCAGCCAATATGAACATGTCCTAATCGATAAGTGGGCCGTTGATCAATTCGAGACATGATGCCGATACAGTCATAGCCCGGCTTGCTGCGAGCGACGGTGTTTGACCGTATTTGGACTTATGGGCACTCAACGAGCTCATGCCGCTCAGGGGTCCAATACGCAGCAAAGTCGCTGTGTACCCCGAAACACCCTCACGTTCGTCCTGAGCTGTTCGCGCTAGTGTTGGTGCGGTGACCGCGATATGCGCATCAAAGAGCAAAGCAGTGTGTATACTAGTACATGTGCAAACGATCTAGACGAGAGTCCGTGCACTGCCGCCCTTAGACCCAGTGGTAATCTTCCTACCTCAACTCCTTCGGCGGGATCCACTCCGGAATGTTCCCCCACTCAAACGCGTCCCCCTCCTGCTTGAATGCCTCCAACGCCCCCTTCGGCAACAGCTCGATGTAGTTCGGCGGCAGCAGCTCGTCGTACACCGTCGCGCCCGGCTTGTACAGCGCCCGTTTCCTTGCCGCCGCGAAGTCCGGCTTGCCGGACTTTTCTTTCTGACCTGGGGTGGCGGAGTGCGCGGGGGCGGGTTGGCCAAAGAAGGAGGAGGGGGCGGTGGAGGAGGGGGTGAATGCGGATGAGGTTTGGTTAGTGAGGGAGTTGAAGACGGAGGAGGGGGGCTGGCTGGCTGGTGTTGAAGTGCCGAATGCGGACCCGGTCGTCGCGGGAGCACCGAACGCAGACCCGGTCGATGCAGTAGTACCGAACGCTGACCCGGTCGATACAGGGGCACCGAAAGCGGACCCAGACGATGCAGGCGCCCCAAACGCTGACCCAGTGGATGCCGCGGCGCCGAACGCAGATGGCGAACCGAACGCAGACTGCGCAGGGGCAGGCGAAGGCGCCGCGTTGCTCGCCGTACCGCCGCCAAAAGCGGACTGGCCAAAGACCGACCCCCCAGGCGCCTTGGCAACCGCAGCGAGCCCAAACGCTGACGGCTGCCCGCCTGCGAACGCGGAGAACGCCCCGCCCCCGCTTGTGCTCGCGCTGGGACCACTTGCGCCAGTGTTCGAACTGGAGGGGTTGGCGAATGCAGAGAACGCGCCGCCGCTCCCGCTGGTCGATGGTGTAGTACCGAAAGCAGAGCCCGCCGCTGGCTTCCCGAACGCGGTCTGGCCGAACACCGAGGTCGTCTGCGGGGCACCAAAGGCCGAGCCGGTCGTCCCCGTGGCCTGGGCGGGTTTCCCGAACGCAGACGTGGTAGTGCCCTGAGCGGGTTGTCCGAACGCAGACGTGTGCTGTGACGGTTGGCCGAACGCGGATGTCGTTGTCCCCGACGCTGGAGTGCCGAATGCGGATGTCCCTGCCGCTGGTTTGCCAAAGGCACTTTGCCCGAACGCGGATGTGGACGCTGGCTGACCGAAGGCTGAGGTTGTTGTCCCCTGAGCAGGCTGACCGAACGTGGAGGTCGTTGCGCCCTGAGCTGGCGCGCCGAACGCCGACGCCGCGCTCCCTTGCGCCGGTGTTCCAAAGGCTGAAGTCACAGCACCCTGTGCAGGGGTACCGAAGGCTGAGGTAGCACCGCCCTGAGCCGGCGAGCCACACGCAGAGGTAGTAGTACCACCTGCAGATTGCCCAAAGGCAGAGGCGCCACCAAATGCTGACCCACCAGCAGGCTTGCCGAACGCCGACTGGCCAAACGCGGGTTGAGCAAAGGACGACTGTCCGAATGCCGACGAAGTGCTGCTACCAACAGCTGGCGTACCGAAGGCGGAAGGAGTCGAGCCCGCCGCCCCGGCGAACGCGCCGAATCCTGAAGGCTTTCCAAATGCCGACGTTGATGCCGGCGCGCCAAAAGCGGAGGTGGTGGCCCCCGTACCGAACGCGGATCCTCCGGGAGGGGTGGTCCCGAAAGGTGTGGGGGTCCCGCCAGCTGCTGCTGCTTCGTAGTTTCGGACGGCGTGGGCGTGGAGGGCTTGCATGTTGGAGCGGGCGTTTGTATAGGTGGACTGTGCCGCGGCGATCTTGTCTGCCTCGTACTTCAACTGGACGGCGCGGGGTAGGATTGGGATCGGGAGGTGGACGAGAGCGGTGAGAGACAAAGACGTACGTATTCTTGGATGGTTCCGTTCTTGGCCGCCTCTGCGGCCTTGACACGGAGCTCCTCTGGGGACTCATCAAGACCGGCGATGAGTGTAGGCTGGAGCTTTGCGGGGGCGAACGAGGAGAGAGGCCACAGGGGCCTGTCTTGTTCGAAGTCACGGTTGAGCGTCTCGAGACTAGGTGGATTATAGCGTTCGGTCGATTCGGTCATGTTGGAAATATGGGGAGGAGCGAATCAGATGTTGACCAGGAGCAGAGAGGAGGGAGAGGTGCGAACGTGAAGAGGGAGGAAGCGTTTGAGGTAGCAGGTGCGGAAGAGGACGGTGCAGCGGGGGAGGCGCTCCATGACTGGTCTGTAGAGGAGATGTCAAAACAAGACCGCGAGAGTTGTGGCTAGAGACAATAGAGCAGGAAGAGAGGGA